AGGGTTCCCATTTCTCCACAGCCTCTCCAGCATTTGCTGTTTTTTGTCTTGGTGATTCTAGCCATTCTAATGGGCGTGAGGTGATATCTTAGTGTTGTTTTGATTTGCATTTCCCTGATGACTAGTGATGCTGAACATCTTTTCATGTGCCTATTGGCCATCTGTATATCTTCTTTGGAGAAGTGTCTCTTCATTTCCTCTGCCCATTTTTGGATTGGGTTTTTTTTTGTTGTTCAGTTGTGTGAGTTCTTTGTATATTATGGAGATTAGTCCCCTGTTGGATATATGGTTTGCAAATATTTTTTCCCAGCTGGTGGGCTGCCTGTTCATTTTGATCCTGGTTTCATTTGCCTTGTAGAAGCTCTTTAATCTGTCGAAGTCTCACTTGTTTATTTTTTCTTCAGTTTCCCTTGTCCGAGTAGACATAGAATTTGAAAAGATCCCTTTATGACCAGTGACGAATAGTGTCCTGCCTATATTTTCTTCCAGGAGTTTTATAGTTTCAGGTCTCACCTTCAGGTCTTTGATCCATTTTGAGTTAATTTTTGTGTATGGTGAAAGAAGATGGTCCACTTTCATTCTTTGGCAAGTGGCTGTCCAGTTTTCCCAGCACCATTTATTGAAGAGACTTTCCTTTCTTCATTGTATGTTCTTAGCTCCTTTGTCGAAGATTAGCTGCCTGTAGATGTGAGGTTTTCTTTCTGGGCTTTCAATTCTGTTCCATTGATCTGTGTGTCTGTTTTTGTACCAGTACCATGCTGTTTTGATTACTATTGCTTTGTAGTATGTTTTGAAGTCAGGGATTGTGATGCCTCCAGCTTTGTTCTTTTTCCTCAGGATTGCCTTAGCTATACGGGACCTTTTGTTGCCCCATAGGCATTTTAGTATTTTTTGTTCTATTTCCATGAAGATGTCCTTGGGATTCTGATTGGGATGCATTGAACCTGTAGATTGCTTTAAGTAGTATGGACACTTTAACTATGTTTATTCTTCCAGTCACTGTGCATCAACATGATAAATTGTTAATTCTGTCATTCCTTCTACATTTGTTAGCTCAGGTTCTTCTGTAAAGATGAGCTTTCCCTCATCACCAGGGCTTTCTGGGAGCTCTGATACCTGTATTTTTAACAAGCTGCGAGTAACTCTGATGTTTAGATAGATTCTAAACGGGATCCTTTGATGACACGGAAAACACCTCAGAGTAGCTCCGCATTAAGAGGAGAGTTCTCAGCCCGAGCCGGGGGCTGTCCTGGAGCCCAGCTACAGGAAGCACAGCTTGGCTTCAGAGGAACTGGAAATTGTGCAGGAGCTCCTTCCTTTCTTGGACTTTTTCTCTGCCTCCCTCTGCATGTTTGCTACTTCATTCTTTCACACAATGCCTTCTTAAAGTCTCTTAGTTTCTGCCTGTCCATAACTTGAGTTCACACAAGGCTGTAGGCGGGCTCTGAGCTTCTTATCTGTCTGGGTGTCATAACTCAAATTGTCTCTTCAGAGAATCTGGATCAACTCAGGAAGCTATGCTTTGGCAGTGGCCTGGGGAGTAGAGCCACACACATTCCAGCTGGGGCTGGGGCAGCATGGGAGAGCTAGGGGGTGGAGGAGTGTGGGGGCATGCCTAAGACTCCCCCACTCCTCTGGGTTACTAACCCCGTGGGCTCTGTGACTCTCCTGGTCTGATTCAGGCCTCCAGCACCAGACGCCTGAGAGGACAGAGGCAGGCTTCCCGTTGATCAGCCCCAGAAATTCATTCCGTCCATCTCTGCCCTGAGTCCTTCTGGGCCTAGGATTCCAGCACCACTGTCTGAACAGGCCTGTCTCCTCTTCTTTCCCACAGCCCGCTGTGGAGGTGCCCCGGTATGTGGGTACCCAGCTCCTAGTAAAGGGCGAGGCCATCAGGAAGCCCCTGGCAATGTGTCACCGGCGGATACGGGTCCGCCCAGCTCCTCACCTGCTGACCCAGCAAGACTCTGGGGAAGGCAAGGACTTGGGGACCCTTACCCACAGGTCAGCTCCTAGGGAGGTTGCTGAGGCCAGGAGCTTCGGGCACATGGAGAAGCCAGACTCCACTGCCACCACCTCGGCCCCCAGAAGGGGTAAGAAAGGCAAAGAGAAAAGTGTCATAGCCCTGGTCTGCCCCAATCTCCAGCAGTGGGACGCCCCACCCCGGCAGCACCAGGATGGGCTGCATTTTCACCATGACCTTTGCTAGTGGGGACAGGCAGCCCCACCCCTTGAACAGATTGCCCCGAGTCTGAAGAACCCCCAGGCCCTGGGTAACACCATTCCCCCAAAACACCCCACGGGCCCAAGACAACTTCTTCCTGCTCTCCAAGCCCCTCCTAACCACCTGGATTTGCCCCTCACCCACAGCCCCGCCAAAGAACCACCAGTAGCAAGTAAAGGCCACCAGTTAGAAAGTATTTTTTAAAAATACATGAAACAAGTACTGTCCCCTCCAAAGGAGTCACCTTGAGAGGCAGTTGTACTTGTTTCAAAGATGCCAAGACTCAATCCCTGGCCCATCTCTCTCCAGAGCCCAAGCCTTTCCTGCCACGGTATTCTGACCTTGCCTGCACGCAAAGTCACCTGGGGGGGGGAAGGAATACTGTACAGCACTTAACAGTTTACACTGCGTTGCCACCTGAGCAGCTCCTTTAGTCCTCACAGCCTAGCGAGGCAGGTGCCATTATCCCCATTTTCCATCCGAGGAATCAGGAAGTTTAAGGAAGTTGCCCGAGGTTGCACAGCTCAGAAGGGGCTGAGCTGGGATGCAGACCCAGGTCTGTTGGACTCCAAACCCTGTGTTCTTCCCACAGCCTCTGGAGGAGGAACGGGGAGGGCTCCATCTGCCCTCACACGCCCCTGCCCTTACCCCCACCTCCCTGCCCTCCACACACACCGGAGGGGCAACTGGCCCGCCTTGGGCCTTCCTCACAGCCTCTCTTGCTCCCACAGCCCCTTGCCACTTCCCCAGCCTCCACACCCAGGCCTGGCTGCCATCCCCCAATGTGCTCCGCGCCCAGCGCCAGGACCTCAGACTGCAGTACAGCAAGCCAGTCGGCACTAGGACCCTGTTGACCACCGGCAAGGCCTCCATAACACTACCTACCACCAAGGGTAGGATTTCCTTACCACGGGACCCTGAGCTCAAGCTGGCATCCAACATCCTGAAACCAAGAAAGGTGGGGCTCAAACTGTGACCCGCACCCTGAGCACATCTGTCTTTCCATTATTTAGGTCTTCTTTAGGTCTTCACTCTAACCTATTTTGACAATGTTAATTTTCAATCTATAAGTCTTACATTTTTGTTAAATTTAGTCTTAAGTGTTTTATTCTTATTGATGCTATTATCAATGGAATTGTTTTCATTTCATTTTCAGGTTGTTCATTGCCAGTGTATAGAAATAGAATTGATATTTGTATATTGATCTTATATCTTGCAACCTTGCTGAGCTCATTTATTAGCTCTAATTCTGTGGGGGCTGTGCGTATGTGTGTGCGTGTGTTGTGTGTGTGTGTGTGTGTGTATTCCTTAGGGCTTTCTGTGTACAAGATCATGTCATCTACAAATAGAGATAGTTTTACTTCTTCCTTTCCAATCAGGATGCCTTTTATTTTATTGTCTTGCCTGTTCACCCTGACTAGAACCTCCAATACGATGTTGAATAGAAGTGGCAAGAGCAAATATCCTTATCTATCCCTGATCTTAGGGGAAAACTTGCAGAATTTCACCATTAAGTATGATGTTAGCTGTGAGTTTTTCATAGATGCTCTTTATCACAAAGATGTAATTTTAAATTTTCTAATAGCCACATTAAAATAAAAACAGGTGAAATTACCTGTAATATATTTAATTCAATCTAAAATATGATATCAACATATTATCAAGGTAAAAATTGGTAAGATTTTACCTTTTTTTCATATTAAGTCTTCAAAGTCCTACATGTATTTTAGACGTAAGCACATCTCAATTTCAACTAGACACATTTTAAGAGTTCAGTAGCCGCATAGAACTAGTAGCTACTGCACTGGATAATGCAACTCTAGAGCTAAACAGACCTAGGTTTGAAGTATAGCTCCCCTTCTTCATTATTCTGAATTTAAGCAAGTTATCACCTTTCTCTGAAGTAGTTTCATCATCTAAAAAGTTAAGGCAAGTACAGACTTAGAGTCCTCACAAGGATTAAATGCTAAAGTGTATGAGATGACAGTCTGGGTTTAAATCCCAGTGAATAAAGTTGGCCTCTGCCCCTAGAAAATGGGAACAGTAGCAACTAGCTCAAGGTTATGATTATAAGAAATGCTATAAGTCACCTGGCAGAGTACACGGTCCATAATGTGCATTTACTAAATTTTATATGATACTGATTAACAGGAAAAGAGACCCATGGCATGTCATAGAATAAAAGTTCAGGCTACATACTGCATAACCCCATTTAAGTAAGTTACATATGAGGACAGACGATTCAGGACATTCACAACCACATCATTAGTTATCTTGGAACAGTAGAATCCTCACTTTACTTTTTTGCTTGGATTCACTAGAGAATGTATATATTTATTTGCTTAATATCCTTCAATAAATGCCTGGGATCAGCAACACACCAATATTAATGAACACACCTAGCTCCCAGATCTTGTTTTCTGAATATGCTTCTCCACTAAAATGAAGCAGACCTCCTTAGAAAAACGACGAAAATCAAGGGCTAGGGCAGGGGAGGTACAAGATGAGCCTGCAATACCCTGCTGTGCCCAAAAGTCAGAAAGCACTCAAAGCATGATGGGGACGTGGCAAAAGGCCACAGAAGTCGGGACGGAGGGAATCCCACTGGCAAAGTCTGTGTGACAATGTGATTGTCATTAAATAATCTGTTACCATCCTTATATCCTATTAAAATAGGAATATTTGAGTCCCTCTTGATATATGTAAATGAATAAGTTGAAAGATGCAGAATAAGATGTTTACTTATTACAAAGCACCTCTCTAGAAAATATTAAACACAAAGGGAACAATAATAACTTTACACAGAGAAGCCTGACTGCACCTCCTTATTCAAATAGTCAAACAGTCATGTGACAAATCCAAACTGTATGCAATTTTGCAGTCACAACCTATTTTTATCCTATTCCTACCAGATATACAACCTGAATCGAGGAGATAGACAATTCCAAATGCAGGACCAGGAAACAAAACAACTGGTTTATAATCTTCAAAACAGCCAAGGCCATTCAAGTCAAGAAAAATTGATGAACTGTTCCAGACAGAGGGAGACTAAAGAGAAGCACAATGAAACAGAACACTTGATCCTGACCTGGATTCTTTCGCTCTAAAGGACATTACTGGGACGATTGGAAACACTGGAATGGAGTCTCGGGATTAAAGGGTAGTCATGTTAACACTGGATGTTTCCCGATTTTGGTGGATGTGTTGTAATTACATAGGAGAATATCCTTCCCTTACTTCAGGGAAGACCAGTGAAGTATCCTGGAATGACAGGCATCAGGCTGGCAACTTACCCTCAAGTGAATCAGCAAGTCTGGTGTTGTTCCCTGTAACTTTGGTTAGTTTGAGATTGTTTCAAAATTAGTTTTAAAAAAATCCTCCAATGGCTTACTGTTATCTTTTTTTTTTTTTTGGTGCAGAAGATCAGCCCTGAGCTAACACCCATGCCAACCCTCCTCTTTTTGCCGAGGAAGACTGGCCCTGAGCTAACATCCGTGCCGATCTTCCTCCACCTTATGTGGGACACCGCCACAGCACAGCCTGACAAGCGGTGCGTCGGTGCGCGCCCGGGATCCAAACCCGGGCCCCCAGCAGCAGCGTGCGCGCACTTAACCACTACGCCACGGGGCCGGCCCTACTGTTATCTTTTAAAATGAAACCCAACTGTTCTCTGCCATGGCCAATGAAGGGCTTCAAACTCTGATCCCTGCCAACCACCTCACTTTACCCTCTCCCCTTCACTCGCTCTGCTCCTTTCTTTCTGTTGCCAAACTTGCAAAAGCAGTCTCGATAGGCTCCTGTCTCCCCTGCTCTATCGGCGAGAGTCACTTCTGACCTGTATTCCATCTTGGAAAGATGGACCCTCACAGCTGTTTCTCCCGCAACCTCTGGAGTTAGGACTCTGACTAGGGGTTCCCAAACTCGGTGGCTATAAGAATTCCCTGAAGAACCTGCTAAAAATGACAATTCCTGGGCCTCCACACCAAGGCCCAGCTGCCTTTGCCCAAGGAAGGCAGAGACTGTAAATATTCCCTACGTCAGGCACTTAGGCAATATTTACTGAACAAGGATTCTTCTCTCAACTTGCAGCAAAAGAAGATCTTTATGATCCAAGGCCACTACCCAGTGATCCGGAGCCTCTTGTGCCGGAGGGGTTGGGTGGAGAAGATCCATCTCTTGGGGACCACCCTGCCACCACTGCAGAAGGATCTGGGTAGCTCAGTAGTGGGTAATAGTGACACTACCAAGGATGGTGAGCAGTCCCTGCCTTTCCACAAGCTGCCCTTCCTGAGTCCCTTTCCTATGGTTCCCACTGTCTCAGGGTTGAGGCTTTGGTATGGGCATATGGGGCAGGGACAGGGGCCTCACTAGGCCTGGGCTCTGCATCCGCAGAGGACGAAGACAAAGAAAATGCGTTGCAGCCACCACAGCTGTTTGACTTCCGTGATTTACTGGAATTTGATGACCTCCCCTACCTCCCTGCCCTCCACACACACCTGGAGGGGCAACTGGCCAGCCTTGGGCCCTCCCCAGGCCCTCACAGCCTCTCTCGCTCCCACAGCCCCTTGCCACTTCCCCAGCCTCCACACCAAGGCCCGGCTGCCTTCCCCCTAGGGCCGGGGCCTCAGACTGCAGCACAGCAAGCCAGTCGGCACTAGGACCCTGTTGACCACCGGCAAGGCCTCCATAACAGTACCTACTGCCAAGGGTAGGATTTCCTTACCACCGGACCCTGAGCTCAAGCTGGCATCCAACTTGAAACCAAGAAAGGTGGGCCTCAAACTGTGACTCGCACCCTGGCAGGCCATGCTGAATCCCGGCATCAGGGCTGGAGGGCACAGGCAGAGGGCAGCTCCCAGGCTGGCTGGAGCCCCAAAGGAAGGGCTTGTTTCCCTCGGAACCTCCTTCCTGGACAGATTCCTGATCATCTCTTCTCCTTCTCCTCTCCTTTCACACCAAGGCTGTGGCTCCCCAGCACCTTCGTGGTCCCCATCCTGGAAGCACCTTGTGGCCTTTACACTTCAAAGCTGGAACTATTCCTAGCACCCATACGAAGATCAAGGGCAAAGGCAAGGTCAAGACCAGACTCTGTGACAAACCCAAGGCGGAACCTGCCTCATGAACACACTGAGCCTCCCAAGCAAGACCTCTGCTCCTTAGAAATGCACACCAGGGGTGGAGGGGCATGGGGGATGTCAGGCTAGAGGAGCCCTGGCTTCGACCCACACTGCCCCTATCCTGGATGCAGCACCAAATAAAAAGGAGAAAGTGAAGCATGCTAGCCTTGGCTCCATTTCTACTGCAGGGTGAAGAGGGGGTAGGCTGGGGCCCTGTACCCCAAGGTCCAGAATGAGAGTTAGAGGCCACCAGCACTCCCCTACAAAGCAAGAATTCCCACCTAGTGACAAACATCGGGCTTCCTGTTCAGGGACTCCCCTGGCATCTCTGATCTTTGGGTGGGGGGATAAACCTCACTTTACAGATAAGGAAACTGAGTCTACATGAGGAGACGTGGCTTGCCCAAGATCAGGTGGCAGTGAGCAGAAGGCAGGGACACACTGCCAGCACTGCTGACCACTGGGAGTCCCCCCAACCTCCAAGCCCAGAGGAGCGGGGCTGGCAGCAGAATCGCCTCTAATGGGCACAAGATTTGCAACATGAGACGGGGGGAAGGGTGGACCTTGCCTAAACCGCAACCCTTCTCCAAAGAGAGTGGGTCTGTCCCTTGCTGAGCAAGGGGCCAAGGTCACCTAAAAAGGAAGCATCCAACAAGCCACACCCATGTCAAAACGTCGGTATTTCTCAGTTGAATGGGTTGAATGGCACCCTCCCCCCTAAAATATGTCTACCTGTGAGTATGACTTTATTTGGAAGGGTCTTTGTAGATGTAATTAAGGAAAAGATCCTGAGATGAGATCATCCTGGGTTATCCAGGTGACAGCTGTCCTTGAAAGAGTCAGAAGAGGACAAACACGAGGAGAGGAGGCCGTGTGAAGATGGAGGCACAGATGGGTGTGACGCAGCCGCAGGCCAACGAACGCCTGGAGCCACCAGAAGCTGAGCAGGCAAGGAAGGATCCTCCCCTGGAGCCTTGAGAGCGAGCACGGCCCTGTCGACACCTTGATTTCCGACTTCTGGCCTCCAGACTGTGAGAGAACTACTTTCTGTTGTTTTAAGCCACTCGGGTTGTGGCAATTTGTTCCAGCAGCCCTAGGAACCTAATACACTAGCCACGCGAAGACAACGAACTCAAACCCAGAAATTCTTGCATCACTGAACCAGGAAACGCGTACAAGCAGGTTCACGGCAGCATTGTGCTAACAGCTAAAGACCTGTCCACTGACGGTGGAATGGATCAACCGGTACATTCAAGCACCTGAATGCACACTCCACGCCACAGAACACAGAGCAATTCACAGTGTGGAGCGAGAGCGCGTCACAAAAGAATACGTACAGCACTATTCCATTCACAGAAACTGCAGAAACGGCAAAATGAAATATTCTTTAGGGATGCACGTGTATGGAGTAAAACTTAGCACAAAAGACAAGCAAGGAAAGCATTCTCCCATGTCAGGACAGTGGTTCCCAACCTAGACTGAACACGAGAACCCCTCTGGGAGCTTTTTAAAAAGACTGATGCCAGGGTATCCATCCCAGACTGATTACACCAGTATCTTTGGGGTGCAGAATCGTGGGGAGGCATAGGGATTTTTTTTTAAGCTTCCTGAGGGGATAGGGTAGGGGCTTCTAACGTGGGGCCAGGGTTGAGAACTGCCGCTCTACAAGGAAGGAGAGGGATATTTCTATCTCGTGCCCCAAGAGGTGGTTAGATGGGTGTCACCTTATAGTTACAGCCATGTGCTGCTTAACGACGGGGAGACACTCTGAGAACTGCATCATTTGGTGATCTTGTCGTCGTGTGGACATCATAGAGTGTACCCACACAAACTTTTTTTAGATGGTACAGCCTACTACACACCTAGGCTCTATGGCACTAATCTTATGGGACCACCATCGTATATGCACCTACATGGTTGACTGAAACGTCATTATGCGGCACATGACTGTATTCTTTAAACCACAGAGAGGTTCTGTGCACTCGTAGTTTTGATATACTTCACAAATTTTTAAAGTAAAAGCTACAGCATCTTTGCTTATATGACGTACCTAGAATAGTCAAACTCACAGAGACAAAGGAGAATGGTGGCGCCTACAGGCTGGGAGGAGGGCACATGGGGACCTAGTGTTTAACGGGTACAGAGTTAGTTGGGGAAGATGAAAAAAGTTCCGGAGATGGTGGCGACGGCTGCACAACAATGTGAATGTACTTAATGCCACTGAACTGTACACTTTAAAATGGTTAAGATAGTAAGTTTTGTTAGGTGTATTTTACCATAATAAAAAAAAAACCTCTAACGTTTCCTTCCAGGTAGAATCGGGACAGAAACAGCCAAATAGAAAGACCCACACATTGAACTCAGCAGAAAGCACAGTCCATGATAAACATGGACCCTCTCAGTACACCCTCAAAACCATACTATGAGGTAGTTACTCCCATCATCTCAAGTCCAGAGAGGTGAAGTCATTTGTCCAATGCCACGCAGCAGGTGGCCTAGCCAGGACCTGATCTTAGATTTGTCCGACTACACAGCCCAGGATCTTGAGCCACGGCCTTACTGCATGTGGAGCACTGACCTCCATCTCCTCAGGCCTGACCACAGGCCCATCCTCCCCCGGCCCCCACTGCTCTCCAGTGGGATAAGAAGGAAGGGCAAGAACAGAAGGACTACTGCTGCCGAAGTCCCAGGCACTGCAGGGTCCTGCAGAAATAAGGGGGCAGGGGTGCCAGAAGCTCGATGGGGGCGTCCCTGGGCCTGGCACCGGGGAGGTGGAGACGATGCAGGTGGAGGTGCAAGGGCAGCTCGGCAGCCTGGGAGGGGCTCAGGCGGAGGCGTCTGAGGAGGGCTTCGTCAAGGACCTGGGGTGGGAGAGGCAGATCAGCGTTCAGCCAGGTGATTCTAACCAGCAGGTACCAGCTCTAAGGAAAATGGCAGTGAGGCAAGTACTTCTTCCCTCCTTCCACGCCCATCGTCGTTAGTCATTTCCTCGCTACGCATGCACACGGATACACTCACACACACCCACACTACGGCAGAGACTGCCTAGGGGCTCACCACATCAGTTTCCGCCTGGGCATACAGCTAAACTACATTTCCCAGCCCCCCTTGCAGTTTGGCGAGGCCATGTGACCGAGTGCAAGTATGTATGCCACTGCCAGACCTGGCCCACGGAAACCTCCCACAGGAACCCGCACTGTCCCATCATCTGCTGGCTGGACGGCAACAGCCTGAGTCCCAGAGGGACTGGGGCAAAGCCCACCCCTACCCCACACCCATTCACTGGACTTAACATGGAGGGAAATTACTGTGTTAAGACTCCGGTACTTTGACGTTACTCTGTTAGAGCAGAGAGGTAGCCTAATACACACACACAACCTCTTCTACCCCTTGTACCAAAAGAACAGCAGACTCAGAAGGGCCTTTAGAAATCAGCCCGTTCAACTCCCTTATTGAACAGCTGGGCAGAATGAGGCCCAAGAGAGACGGGGCGTCACTTGCTCAAGGCCACAGGGCAAGATAGGGCTACAGACAGCCTTGGAAGCCAAGAGGGCTGCCTCCCAGTCCCAAGCTGCACAGCTCATGCCTGGAGATGCTGCCCCCCTCACCCCCACCCCCAGAAGGCAGCAGGCAGCTGGGTGTGGGTACCTGTCTTTGGGTCTTGGTGCTGTCAGCTGGCAGCAGAAAGCGCTGGCCCAGCACACTGCCCACGCGGGCAGAGTATGTGTGGTCCCCAAGAACAGGGCAGAGCTCCAGTACCATGTGCACCTGCAGCTGACTGGGGAACACTGGGAGACAGAAGAGACAGGACAGAGGGTGAGCCGCTGCTCCTGTGCCACCCAGCAGAGTCTCTCCCCCTTTCCCCTGGGAAACACCCTGCCCCATCTCAGACCGTGTGGTTTTGGTGAGGTCAATGCTACCACTCCCGCCTCCAGAGCAGGGTGCATGACCAGGTCAGGACAGTCATAGCTGTCAACCACCCAGCTGCGGGATTTGCTCAGGAAGAGATGCAACCCCGAATTTATTGTTGAAGCTCCTGGGAATAAGGAACGCTCCTTGTGGTGGGGTACAAGACTGGAGCTGCGGGAGCACCTGGCCATCTCTGCCTTCACCACGGGAGCGCCTGTAGGAAAAAGAAGCCAGCACGCAGGAGGCGAGAAGCAAGAATGGAGAGACAGCTTCCTGATGACATCGTCTGAGCCTCTGGATCCAGTCATGCCTGAACTTTAAGCAATGTGAGCCAGTAAGTTCCCTTTTTGGGTTTTCACCAATTTTAACTGACTTTGGGGAAACTTATAATCGAAAGTACCTTGACAAATACAGAAATGGGGGGCCATGTGCTAGGCGTGGGACGAAAGGCTTCACATATGTGAACTTACTTAATCCTTCCGATGACCCTATAAGGTGGGTCCTGTCATCATTCCCATTTTAAGGTAGGAAAACCAAAGCTCAAAAACAAGTGACTTGGGGGCCGGCCCTGTGGCTTAGCGGTTAAGTG